AAGGTGAAGGGTTCCAGAAGGAGGAGGCAGAGAAAGAATAAAGAGAAAGAAAAGTACTACTTTTTAGGATTTGTTTATTCACTGTATGTGTGCACGAGTGTGTGTTTGTGTGTGTGTGTGTGTGTGTGTGTGTGTGTGTGTGTGTGTGTGTGTACACTCGCGTACACCAAGGCATACATTTTGGAGGACAGAGCCACTTGCAGGAGTCACTTCTTTCCAACTACGTGGGTCACAGAGACTGAAGACAAGTTGTCAAGTTTGACTGCAAGCACCTTTGCTTGCCATCTCCTTGTCCCCATACTGTTTTTAGAAACAAACATCAGTGGACTTCTAGCAATGACGATTTTGAGAATGTTCCCAATTTCTCACATATGGACCCCAGCAATATCTGCAACCTGTCACAAGGAGACAGGGGCATGCCTGGGACTAAGCAGGTCTCCACTCACTTCACATGAGAATCCTGGAAGACGCTCACTTGGTTTCCCATTGAGATCCCTCTTTCTACCCCGTGAGAAATGACTATGAAACCCCACTGTTGAGAAACAAAGGTTTTTCACTTTCAGATTTTTAGACATGGCAAAATAGGCTGCATGCATACATGTGTGTATAGTTCAGAGGCAAAGGGATTGGCAGTGTCCACTGATCTTTTCAAACCCCATTCTGTGGCTGTGGGGATGATGGTATTGCAGTCTTTGAGGACCCCCTTAGTAACTATGAGGAGCAGTGAGATGTCTCGACAGTGCTGCCTGCTGTCAGCATCCCTTCCTCCCCTCTTAAATGCCAGCTATGAAACGCTGTCACTTTTCACCAACACTCCATATGTTCAATAAAGGCAGCCAGAAAGATAAGCAGTCCTGACCTGCTTGGAAAGAGCAAAGTGTTACAGCTGGTTGCTTCTGGTGCCTTCCTCACTCGTTTACAGTTCTAAGACTAGAGCTGCAGAAGTGGAGATGGAATCGGGGTGTGGAATGAGACACTTTCTCGGGCACCCCTGCGGGCCGCCCACTCTGCAGGACTGAGATCCAGGACACTGCTGACACGAGCTCTGGGGACTTTTATAAAGGTCGCTGTTCTCATGAGGGACCGAACAGTACCACATTTTCTCAGGGCTAATAATGCTATCTCAACACTCTTGCTTATTAACCCACTTGCTTCCTTCCTGGAGACTCTCAAAGGGTAGGCGGCTTCCTTGGGAGGTTGAACCTAACAACGTATACCATGCAATTAGCATTGTTCCATCCTGAGGATATTGTCCCTCTCAATACTAACATCTAAAATAAATCACATTTTATAGATTTGTGGAAGCTAAGGTGTGCTAACTGACTTTGGTTTTCAACCTGACATAGCCTAGAGCCTGTTGCTGTGACTCTAACCCAGTGGTTCTCAACCTTCCTAATTCTACAACAACCCTTTAATACAGTTCCTCATATTGTGGTGTCCCCCAACCATAAAGTTATTTGATTTGCTACTTCATAACCGTAATTTTGCTAACATTATGAAATGTAATGTAAATAGCTGAGTTTTCCCATGGTCTTTGGGTTGGGGGGTTGAGACTCACAGGTTGAGAACCACTGCCAAAGCGCCTTAAGGAAAAGAGGGTTTATTTCGGCTTGCACTTCCAGCTTACAGTCCATCACTGAATGAAATCATAACAGGTAATGACGCAAAAATCATGGAGGAATGCCACTCGCTGACATGCTCACTGATTTGCTTAGCTAGCTATCTCTGTTACACAGCCCAGACTTACTTGCCCTAAGGATGGTGCCACCCACAGTGGGCTGGGCCCTCCCACATTGATCATTAATCAAGACAATATTTCAGAGACAAGGCCACAGGTCACTGTGATCTGGGCAATCCCTCCATTGAGGTTTCCTTTTCCTAGGTGACCCATGGTAGGGTCAGTTTGATGATGATGATGATGATGGTGGTGATGACAATAATCAACCTAACCAACACAAAGCTCATTTTAAAATGGCCAGGTATCAAGGGTCATGCTGCTGGGGAGAAGTTTAGGATCTGTATTTCCGAAAGTTCTGCTTCTGAGCAGACTTCACTTTGCAGAGAACATGATGGGTGATAAATTGAGGAGAAATGGATTTGTGCTCAGCAGCCTTCCCACAGCTAGTGCTGTGATCACTCTCTCCATCTCTCTTGTGAGAATACTCATTTCTACTCTGCCATTCTCCAGGGGCCAAAGTCACCACTTCTACCTGTTGCTGAGCTCTGGTGAGTTCATTTCTCTTGACTTAACTTCCTCATCCTTTGGTTCCAGGCAGGGAGTGAGGAGGGCAAAGGGTGGATTTATATGACAGCTTCATTGGGCCTCCTCGAAGGAAGGAGGTCCCATGGAGGCCCATTTCTGTCTCTATCTGCTTTCTGGATGCTGTGAGGTTAGTAGCCTCCCTCAAGCACATGGTCCTGCCAGCACATTGCCCTTCTTTTCCTTAGGTGTGAAAGCAATGGGCCAGACAAGCGGAAACTGAAGCCTCTGAAACTGTGAGCCAAAATACAACTTTCTCCATTTCATTTATTTTTCTGGGGTCTTTTACCACAAAGATAAGCCTAACATAATGTTCACATGAAAAGGTACTAAGACATGCAAACAAACAGTCAAAATGATGAACTATAGAGTACTCGTTCAAAAAATAATGACCAGGAGAAGGATAGGCAGGAACAGATAATATTGGCATTTCCTCTTGATCACATTTCCTGTATGTGTGGCTAAATTGTTAGCAAGTTAACTCAGTTACAGTAATTTGATTTCATTCTGTCTGTAGCCTTGATTAAGACTTAAAATAATGGTGGTACCCATGACAAAGCAATGGAATGCAATGACAAAGCCTAATCAAACCATGAGAATCCAAGGATTGCCTAAATCTATGAATCTTCTCAACTGCAACACAACACCAGGATGGGCCTCTTGCTTTCTTGAGGCTTCTGCTTACCTAGTTGAAGCAGCCCTAGTGGTGGAGAGTAAGCATAAGCATACACACACATACACACACACACACACACACACACACACACACACACACACACACACACACACACTGACTCCCATAGAGCTGACATAAAAACAATGCTGCAAATGGGGCTTAATAAAACCCCAGGGCCCATAGTTACTCCTACAGTCCTCAGCTAGCACCACACCAGTTAAGCAGAGGATCTTAACAAGCTGTAAAGTGAGGACTTTGGGGACTCCGGGGGAAAGACACGCACAGAGAGATCAAGAAATGAAAACGAATGTGTGATGATTTGGCTAGAAGCTAAATTGGAGCAGGAAAATAAAAGCTAGAGCATAATAACTGAGGGGGGGCGTGCTAACCATACAGTGAAGACTTGGATGCTCATCAAAAGAGATTATTCACCACCCTGCATGCAGAACACTCACAACTGAAGCTCTGTGACTCCGGCACGAAGTTTGTCTAATTGTTTCCACTCTTAGAATCACCGAAGAGTTAAAATGCCAATACCAATCCCCTCTAAGCATTCTGTGACAACAGAAACACAGTGAATGCTCTCCAACTAAAGCTACCTGTAAGTAAAGCCCCTGTAAAGGAGATGGCATTTCTGTTAAATATGTGGCATCATTACCCCACCTGGGTGTTGGTTCTGATGTAGAATACGAATGCCTCAGGAGCCTTTGTGCCCCTCCCTCCAGTTTCCCCCAGTCCAATCAGCAGGGACAAGAGTCTGGCTGGCTGGGCACCCAAGGAAACAACAGGGGCTCCACAGATTATGCCTCCTTGACATTCCTTCCCTCCAACCTACAGGTCCGCCCAGCAGATGCCACCAACTTGGTCTCAAACACCCACAAAAGTTAACCTAAGAGACACCTGGGCAATCCAAAATCAGAAACAGAGGGCAGGGGCTGTAAGGGGTAAATAAACAAAAACTGGGGGCGGGGGGGGGGGCTGTCAAAATCAGAGCCTAGCACTTGTTAAACAAACACAGTAGGGTTTAGATTACCCTAGTCAGAAGAAACAGCAAGAATGGAGGGGGTTATCGTGCCTATAATAGATGGAATGTGGGCAGTTCTGAGAAAATCTGCCCATAAACATACTTCTTTTTGAAAGTCTGGATGGAGGCTGCAACGTGTATTGAGCATAGAATGTGGGGGGGGGGCGCGCAAATGAGCTGCATATTTTGAACTCAATCAGAGCAATTGATATGGATTTGGAGTACGGCTAAAGTCCTTACCTAATGGCTACTAGTAAACGAGACCTTCCTTCAGCTGGCAGAAGGATCGTTGATTTTTCCTGAAGACTTACAGGTTTCCCGCCCCAGGATAAAGCCCCAACGTGTTGTTTCCAGAATCAGTAGGAACCAGGCAGTGCCCCGTTTTCCTTTGCAGGCCTCACACCTTCCACCTGTTCCCGAATGATCTGTTGTGGGTATTTTCTATAGAAACTTCTTTGAAAGTAAAGAGGGTAAACGCTCCACCCTTGGAAGGAGAACGAAAAATGAAATTACCCAGGCAGGTCACTGTCGGTAATCAACACTCTCAACCTAACATAACTGCGATTCCTCAGTATTCTGCAAACTGACTACAGGATTTAGCAAACTAAGCTTAAGAAGATGCCTCGCACTTCCTTAGCGGCGCGGGGGTTGGAGGGGGAGGTTGGATGATAAGTCAAGCTGGTCAGCCCCTATCTCAGAAATCCCCACACCCCTCCCCTAGAAGGCTGCACCTGGGTTGATATGCTAGTTCCAAACTCAGAGGAGGGAACCCACCTGCCTGGTTCCACCCAATGCTCCGGAGCCTGTGACCTGGCAGAGCCTACACGTGTCCCCACTCCCCTCTTCCTTACTGCCAGGATCCCAGCCCATCAAAGCGTTATTCCGGGGGGCGGAGGGGGGCTGAAAATCAAACAGCCCCTTAAAGGGAAAACAGGGAGAGCAGGCTGGCATTATATAACAATATACACCAGAAAACGAAAGTCGCCAAAGTAGAGGCCGGGAAGGCGAGTGGAGCAGGGCATCTGGAAGCCACCACTTACTCGAAGGCGAAGAAGAGTCCGCTGGTGACCAGGATGAGGATGAGCGTCAGGTAGAAGACGCCCGTCTGCCGAGCCATCATGATCCTCCCATTGCAGAAGAACTTGTTTCTCCCCGGGAACACCTCCCATTTCCTCCGGGCCGCGATTTTCTTCTTCTTGTGGGG